ATTTTATCAACATCGTACACAGTCATACTGTGACTGTATACGCATAAAAGCACATGCCGATTTTATGCGTATAGTGGAATCTAAAAACGCTCCAATTATTATCAGCGAGCTCTTACCAAGTGAAATTGATACAGCTGAAAATAAGTTGAAAGAACTATTTCGAAAAGTTAAACCGGTGCCTCAAATTTAAAAAGTTCATAGTATGACTGTGTACGATGTTGATAAAATTAAAGTCAAAGTCTATTCTGACAGTAGTCGATTAAACACAGTCTATTTCTGATCAGTTTTATTTTATTGTTGTTTTTCTTTTTGTTAGAGATACTTGGCTCGGTGATTTACTATGTGATTTGCATGTATGATTTGACATACAAAATCAAGAGAATTATAGAGAAAGAGCTGTTCTGCTTATTTAAATCATACTGTCCTGTAGCTTTCTGTTTCTCACGTAAACGTTTGTTCCGCTTAGAAGCGGAAAGCGCCATACTTTTATCTGAAATTAGCTAAATGACCAAGAATAGGAGAATGGATATTGCGGGACTCAATTTATGGCACTTATGGTGAGTAATGACCTTACCCGACGAAAGAATTAAAGGTTATCACTAAAAACGATTTTTGAAAAAAATCGATATTTGTTTTAGCAATAGTGCGAAAGTCTATAAACACTGTTTTTATAGGCTTTCAAATATGCTCCTTCCAATGGTGAAGTTTTCGAAATGCAAAACTATTTCTTGTAGGTTTTCTGGAGGCCGGCTCTCTAGAAAGCTCATAGAAAAGTATTTTTGTGTTCTGGAAATCTCACAGGTGGAAAGAGCATATTCGAAAGCCTATAAAAAAAGTGTTTATAGACTTTCTTACCACTTCTATAGCATATGTCCGCCTGCTCTATAGAAAAATGCACACTGTGTGGGAGGGACTAAAAATTTTTCTTCGCAGAAAGTGGATGGTGAAAAAAAGTTTTCTAAATTTTTGGCAGACAGTTGCTTGTGGAAAAACGTCAAAGATTTTGCTGGAAAGTCCAAAAATGTTTTTAGGGAAGGGACAGTCCCCTGTGCCCCTCCCACCTCATCGGGAGGCCTGTACTGGATAAAAAGATGTAGTTGAAATTCCGACTGAGTAACAGAACAGACGAGAGTGGATGCGATACCATATGATTGACAACTCTCGTTCCATCTTCTTTTTCTGAACAGGTTCTTCTGTGTTCTTTCTGTTATCTTCAATTTCAGTCACATCTCTTTTTTCTTCCTCTGCAGAAAAGGTGTATAACACTACTCTTTCAAGAATGCTGTCATTATTTGATTCTATGGTAATTAATTCGCGAGTTGAACAATGAATGTATCAATGTGTCATGATGTGGACGGCTTGAGCTATAAGTTATTCCCGATGTACAATGCTCTATTCATTGTCGGCTCTCTTACCGTTTTACCGGGAATAATATTAAATACGTTATTTATTATCGCTCTTCTCTATAATAGAACAATATTCACCATTAATAATTATGCTCTTATTCTGAGTATCATAATCGGAGCTGTACTGACACTTATTCAAGGACCTCTACGCTTGTATTATTACTTTAATAATAGCTGCAAACCATATCAGTCCACGTTTCTCTGTAAAATGATAGTCTATTGGGATCATACTCCAACTCTAATGTGTCACTTACTCACAGCTCAATTGAGTGCTAAACGCTTTTTTCTGATACTGAAACCGTTCATGTTCAGACAATCGTGATGGATCGCCATTTACCTGCACTATATCTGCTTAATATTCTGTACTCTATTCCCCATACTCTATTATCCCTTTATCATGCATTATGTAGCAACAACTGGCAATTTCGACGATCCTGCAACGCCCACATGCGATCTGTATTATACTGTTGATGCATTAGAGATCGTGGACTTATTGACCACTTTCCTTCCGTACGGCATTGTTCTCTTCAATTATATATCTGTCATTATAGTTTTTGTGCAGAAAAAGAAATCTCTGAAACGAAATCAGCGATTGAAAAATGAGAGAAAAATTCTGTTACGATTGAATATGTTTCTCATTTGGTTTTTAATTACATGTCTCCATGGGTGTTGTACAATTTTTTTCAAACAGTTCTCGATCTCACACATAGCGTTTATATTGATGCAATAGCAACATTTATAGGTTATCTCAATTACACATTTAGTTCGACAATCATTTTGTTCACATTCTAAGAACTGCGAGTGTTTGTAATCATCCGATATTTCCGTTGTTTCTCAAACAGGTTCGGACAAACGACTGGACCGTATCCACACGAGTTATTCAACTTAATGGTAATGCGTTTCCTTTACAATAATTATAGATAGTAAAGTCAAAGTATGAATGTCAAAAACATAAGAAGTTTGTGTTTCAGCCGTCTGCTCAGATGATATGACATGAATGTTTGCACAAACTAGATCAATGTACCTTTGCAACGATAAATCGCACGATAGAATTTAGCACATTCGGTACAAGAAATAACTTCGAGTAAATGTGTTTTCCAACAATTAGAATTCATCCTATTCTACTTACTTATCTGTATTAGACAAGTACAGAATCTAGCATGTAGAATCATACTACAAGACTTTCTGGAGAACGTACCTGATGTATTTGTAACGTCCTAGATTACTTACTGTGTATTTGTCAGTGATGGAACTACTTGCCTTATTGCTAAGAAGTACTTTCTGGGAGTACTTGGCAAGTAAGGACAAGTACTTACAAGTAAATTTATTTCTTGGAAAAGGCAAGAACCGGCTTCATTACGCAGATGAAGTACTTGGTCCAACTATGTTCTCTAGGGTTATATATTCACTTCTACTATTCGTTCGAGTCAGTTGAATTTACCACCATTATTCTCCCAGAGAAAATTTTCACGTTTAGTTTACTTCCACAAACTTTACCATGGTTTGCAGTGCTCTTTCGCATAGCAGTCTTATCAGTCGTCCATCATCGCATCAAACTGAGAGAAATTCACATAACAAACGGGTACAATGCCAGAGCTACACCCTAAAATCTGTTTCCGGTTCTTTAGTACCAACAGCTATAGAGGGCTGGGACAAATTGCCCTGTACTGTTGTTCATCAGAATACGCTAACAGCATTTTCAGCTGTATTAAAACAACATTTTTTTACTGTCTAAATTTTTGCTGTGTGAATGTGAGCTTGTATTTTATCTGGTGTTACATTCAAACAAGCTCTAGCTTTCTTGTAATTTTCAGGTGTTCTTTATAAATCCTGAAGGAAGTAGTCTCAAACTTTGAAAATTTTTCATAGCCTCATTCTGTTATCTAGTATCTGTAATAAAAGTTTCAGCCCAATCTGAGATAGTCACAATCACTACCTGGTTGTAATTGTCTAACATTCTCAAATTACGAGTGAGTAGAAGTACTTATACCGTCACTATATCAGAAATCTAAAATGTTATTCTTTATTCTCTTATTAATTCTGTTGAATAATTTTATTAATATGACCCGTGCTGAAATAAAGCAAAAAAATATCTAAAGTACTAAAGTATTTGCAACCGGCCAGCAATAAGAGTAGATGCTATTCGATCGCAGCCTAAAAGTTTTATATAGACCAGGTGTAATTTGTCACATTCTCAAGGTGGTAGGCAATCGGAGAACGAAAGCAAAAAAGAAAAAAGCTTAATTTCATCTACCAAAAAATATTATTTCATGTCACAATAAGAGAAACAAGAAGGAATATAATTACTGTTCTTCTTTCGTTTACACAAAGACATATATATGTGAAGAACAAAAAACTCTGACTCATCGTTACAATTACAGTTCACAGAAACGTTTAAAATCAGTATCCATTTACTACCTGGAAAATTCCAACTACTGCAGTTGTACTCTCTGCTTCTTCTACATTACTTTGTGTCATTACACACACACTAGTACAATATGGGAACAGGTTCATCCAAGAATAATAGAGGTAGGAATTCAAGTACGGATTTATCCATACTTTTAAATGGCAGTCTTGCCGAAGGACAATTTAATACGAAGTTTATTGGGAATGATAGTATGCGTACGTATGAATTCGATTTGATGTATCTGTTAAAAACTGAAATCGAAGATGAAACACAATTAGTAGGTGTTGAACAAACGCCTGGCTATGTCAAAATTCGCTTTAGTGCTGATAAGAAAAACGACTTAAAGACTATACTACCAAATAATGAATTATACATATTAACGGTTATGAATTAAAACTCCAAATACATAAGATAATTTCTGATGAATTTCTCGATCAACTAAAATCATCCAACAAGTCAACTGCGTCCGCTAGTATCTATCTATCGTACAATTTACCCAGAAGTATAGATGATAAAATTTTACAAAAATTAAAAGAATTTCGTGAGACTTCTTACAGAGGAGCATGTCATTCAGCTGCGAGACATATTGAACATTTGTTTGAATTTGCATCACGTATATTACATGAAAATTTTCGCCAACATATCTTTCTTTATACAAAAGAATTATTCCATATAACACCGAGTGAACAGTACGTTGAGCAGTTAGCTAAACGTGTTCAACAAATACTCAATATTCATCGTGCATTGTATTTAGCAGTAATCGGAAAACTTTTACCACACGTTTTATATGAGAAAATTGAATTAATACTGAAGTTCTATCAGTCGCATCGGCATTTAATAAATGCAAAGGTAAGGCTGAACACTAACAAATTATTATTAAAGGTACAAATTAGAGCCCTGCAGGTTAAACCTAATCTAATTAGGTTTAGGTTATGACTTTCTATAGGTTAGGTTGTAGGTTACGCCATTGATAACCTATTGTTAACCTAAACGAAAAAAACCGGTTTTGAACGGCGACATTAAAACCGCTAACACTTTGAGTAATAGAGTAGTTGGAATGGGATTTTATCGACTGAGGATGAAGTTCAGACTAAGGTTCTCTAGTTTAAACTGGACTATTTCTAAACTGAAAAATAGCACAATCGAAAAAGGAAGTAGAAAGAAAAAACTTCTGTTTACTAAAAATAGATGGCAAATACGTAACAATAACGGAACCTTCGTAGCATCGAGAGCCTGAAGTGAAATTCTGGTGTACTCTTATGAGGATCTCCCTATACAGAAAGCTATTTTCCTTTAAAAAAATTGCAAAAGATTCTATTAGGTTAACCTAGGTTAGGTTACAAAAAACACTAATAGGTTAGGTTACGTTTAGGTTACGAGCTTCGTAGGTTAGGTTAGATTTAGGTTGCGAAAATTTTTTATAGGTTAGGTTATAGGTTATCAAAAGACCGTAACCTGCAGGGCTCTAGTACAAATGAGTTGGCAGACTTGTGACTCTATAGCCAAAACATAATGTAAAAGAAAGCATTTGCAGACAGTATCGTCCTAGTTTCCGAATAGGGGTGAGAGCCACAACAGCAGCACTTCATATCATATATCGAAGGTGTTAGAACTGTATTTGTTTTGGAAAGCAATCCATCAATAACAGTTTTTGACTCTTTTTACTAACATCATCTGATTTTGTCTCTGAATTGTAGACACGTCGTTTCATAGTTGACTGCGTCGAAAGTGAGAAAAAACAGACTCGAAAGGAAGAATGCGATGTAGTAATTGGTATAAAATTAAAATTTTGGCCTCAGATAACTCATTCGCGTTTGAATTACCTACGTCAGAATAAACATCGAATTTATGATATTATTAAAAATGGAATTGTCTATTTAATACCAAAATGGTGTGGACGTACAAGTTTGAATGACGATGCACCCTATGAATTCCGTTACTCTTTTTCAGAAGTTGAAGGGCTATTGGCTAATAGTCGCACAGTAACGGAGCAGACATTGAATAAAATCGCTCGTGCAATATTCTATAAGCATATAAGAAAACTGAACTCTGAGGACGAAGCTGACAGCGAAAACACACCAAATTATGTGAAATCATATTTCATAAAGACATGTGTCTTATGGATATGCGAAGAAAATAATATTTATAAACAAAATTTCGATGAACACCAATTAACGACGATGTTTATTGAATACGCTAAAGAAAAGCTAAAATCAAACTACTGTGCACATTACTTTATTGAAGGTATTAATATTTTAAATGACTACGACCAAAAAGTGATGAATGATGTTCATGAAATCCTTTGCAATGTTCAACAAGAAGCAAAGGACAAAACAGACGAAAAGGGAATTGAACCAGAGATGACTATTTGTGCAAATATTTTTGATTTGGAAGTACAACAACTCTGTGAACTTATTGAAAACTTTCGTCGTTCACAATCCAAGCATTTCGGTAGTTATGGACCTTTGTATCTGGA